TTCAGTGTTTGGCAGTTGCGTGTAGAAACTTTATGTGGGCGTTTTTATATATTCCCGTTCCATAATATGGCTATGACCAACCATAGTTGTAAGAAGCATAATAACGATCAATTAATGAACAAAAATCACTTGTACATACTTAACTCATATTAGAAGCTATAGGTCCTTCGGAAACTCTATTATTTTTCGATCAGCGATGCACTTGAGAGGTTGTGATCATGGGGAAAGTATAGAACAAATTTTGCTCTATCGCTCTCATAGTAAGTATGGTATTCTTAAAATGTCGTCCTCACCGTTAAGTTTTTTGGAGTCTACGTCTTCAAGAGGTGAAAAATGAGGGCAAAATTTCCGTCTTGAAAGCGAGCCCAACAGCAGCAAACATTAACGACGCTTTGTACACCACTATAGTTTCCTACAGACCTAGTTTTAAGTGATATACACTGGATAAGCTATCGATTAAACATAAAAGGCACAAAAAACCTTTATACAGCAAGATAAACAGCTGCAAGAAAACTTGTTGGATATCAACTCACTTTGGCCATTGCACGACCAATGAACGAATGGAAATCCATTCATATCGGCCTTCATAGTTGAAGAATGAACAGGAGCATTTATCAACCACGGCATGTAACAGAAGTGTATTATTTAAAGTTTGGAATTGCGGCAATTAAAGCTAATAAAGTGGCAGTGCTTGCAGGTTGACTGGTACAGATATTTCCGTACTGTTGCTCCAGCTTTCATCAACGACTATCTAGCTGGTAACCCGAAAATGCTCATAATAGAAATCGACTACATGAGAAGGTGCTAGCGATTGTGGAAAGTCGTTTCAGTACCTAGCATTCGCAAGTGGGTTTTAGAGTCAACCGTCTGATCAGCTCGACTGATCCGAGGATTATCACAAACTATGCCTACCTTCGGTACACCCTCAGTTGGAGCGGCGAGCTCGGCATGCGATATGAGGACATCTACCAGGTTCACAAAAATTCAATTGCCAATTTTGCCTGCGAACACCTTTTGCTTACGAAAAATTCTGTGGTGTAGAACTATTCGAATCTATGAAATAAAACCACAATGCGTTCTATGTTTTTTTTATCATAAGCGATTCATATCTTCTGGCATACTAAACCATTTGTTTGAGCGAATGTGAAGTCGCTGTTGCTTCATTGTCGAAAATTACCTTGTTCAAAAATATGCCGTTATGTAGACAAATATTTTGTCAAGCAAGATAACACTCGAAAGTTTCTTTATCGTAAGAACCTTATGTAAGCAAATCTGTTTTAAGAAGTTCTATTACGTCATGTATGGGCAAAAAAAGAAGGCACCTCGGTGGGTAGAATGCACCAGCACGACTACGTACCAAATGCAATACGCTGCTGGTGCGCTCTACGTTAGGAAAGCATTCAATGAGGTTCATCATTAAAATTCATTAATTTTTTAATTCATGCGCAGTTTTCTACCTCATCACAATGTGTTATCTTTTTAACGAACATTCTTTAGATTCTTTCTGTACATGTGAACCTTAGCAGTGATGGGATAATGAATGGATCTTTGTAAGACAGAGACATTCTTTTCCAAATGGGCCACTAAAAAGGGCCCACCAACATATTCACTCTTTAAATCTAAATTTCTTGAAATGCAAAACTCAGCAATTCGCAGACGTCAAAAAACATGATGCTGGAGATGATAGCCGATCTGCAGGGCGCATTTGACAACATGTTGGCTGAGAGCGACTGGATGGATGAGACTACGAAGGCGGTGAGCAGAAAATTCTTTAGAATAGAGGCTATTGAAATTAGTGCAGAAATGTTTTTCAGAGGGCAGTCTATAAGGCAAAACACATGCTCCGACATGTCGGCTATCCAGATTTCATTCTCGACGATGAGAAGCTGGACGACTATTATAGTGGAGTGAGTAGTACTGAATGATTCTGCACACAAAAAACACTCTAGGAACTTCCACTTATTCTTTCGAATACTTTAAGAAATGAGCTATTTCTTGGATAATCAGAAACTGCGAAAAGAAGGAGAGCAAGGGGAGTCGAGCAAACAATGTAAAGAGGTTCTTGGCAAATTTAAAATGTTTTGTCAAGGTTAATTTCTTAGTATTAGCAAGTCCTTAATCTACTCGATATATGATTAAGCACGAAAAGGAGGTTATTTCTTAATGTAAGTTTTAAAACACATTCTTGCGCTTTTTATTTACTGCCTAATTTTTAACGGCAGGGCATCATGTGAAATACAACTAAGATGATGATGAGATATTGGCAAAACTCCGGAATGCAGGCGTCTGCGGTGGGAAACGAACGCGCTATTGTCCTTTCCGGGGAGTAATGCGTTCACCAGCACACCATAGAACTAACTGAGAGACAGGCGAAACGAAGGACCCGCATGGTGTGGTGGTGGACGCGTTACTCCCCAGAAAGGACAATAGCGCGTTTGTTCCCCACCGCAGACACCTGTGGTCCGACGTTTTGCCAACATCTCAACATTATCTTAGTTAAAACACGTTTTTAAAATGGTAGGCCTAACATTCAAAACCTTCCAAAGGGAGCCATTGTTAATTCGTATACTTCCTTTTGATCAGGCTAAGTTTTAGTAGTAAGACAATGTGTGTCAAGCAACGACACAGCTTGGAATAGATTCCCTCGTAAGGAATTCTGAGCTCAAAAGGAGAAGAATGTTGCCACTGAGAAGCCCAGCATAAGGTATGCTGATTCGAAGTTGGAGTCTAGTGAGCTTGAGTGGCTGTAATCCCACCAGAAGGAACAAAAACAAAAGATCACGTGATATTGGTGTTTCCCTGGAGAGTGGGAGTAAGGCTTGAGCGGAAGCCTTTTGCAATTATGGTTTTGAATTTCGTTAAGGATTTGATTGGGTAGCCATTTCTAAATTAGTAGGGCTCTAAACTTTGTAAATGTTTTTGCATATTTAAAAGTTTCANAGAGGTTCTTGGCAAATTTAAAATGTTTTGTCAAGGTTAATTTCTTAGTATTAGCAAGTCCTTAATCTACTCGATATATGATTAAGCATGAAAAGGAGGTTATTTCTTAATGTACGTTTTAAAACACATTCTTGCGCTTTTTATTTACTGCCTAATTTTTAACGACAGGGCATCATGTGAAATACAACTAAGATGATGATGAGATATTGGCAAAACTCCGGAATGCAGGCGTCTGCGGTGGGAAACGAACGCGCTATTGTCCTTTCCGGGGAGTAATGCGTTCACCACCACACCATAGAACTAACTGATAGACAGGCGAAACGAAGGAACCGCATGGTGTGATGGTGGACGCGTTACTCCCCAGAAAGGACAATAGCGCGTTTGTTCCCCACCGCAGACACCTGTGGTCCGGCGTTTTGCCAACATCTCAACATTATCTTAGTTAAAACACGTTTTTAAAATAGTAGGCCTAACATTCAAAACCTTCCAGAGAGAGCTATTGTTAATTCGTATATTTCCTTTTGATCAGGCTAAGTTTTAGTAGTAAGACAATGTGTCAAGCCACGACACAGCTTGGAATAGATTCCCTCGTAAGGAATTCTGAGCTCAAAAGGAGAAGAATGTTGCCACTGGGAAGCCCAGCATAAGGTATGCTGATTCCAAGTTGGAGCCTAGTGAGCTTGAGTGGCTGTAATCCCACCAGAAGGAACAAAAACAAAAGATCACGTGATATTGGTGTTTCCCTGGAGAGTGGGAGTAAGGCTTGAGCGGAAGCCTTTTGCAATTATGGTTTTGAATTTCGTTAAGGATTTGATTGGGTAGCCATTTCTAAATTAGTAGGGCTCTAAACTTTGTAAATGTTTTTGCATATTTAAAAGTTTCAGCTGTCCATAGAGGAATCGGATTCTTACAGTCAAATGGTGGAGAAGTTGAAACGATGGGGCATCGAGTTTGCTTTCAAACTTCTGATACAGCCTGTCGATAGGAATGAATTTGACTTCAATCCGGCGGATGTGAATGCCTACTATTGGTTTATGTCAAATTCGATCAGTAAGCAACTAACTATTATTGGCGTCTTTTCATTGAGTAAAGGAAAAAGTAAATAATATTAAAAACCAGCATCCTAGAGTTTAACCAGTGACAAACAAGGGTAAATAAGATCGACAAACTTAGAAGAAACTTCTGTGCCATTCTATTTTTAGAGTTACCAGCAGCCATGCTTCAAACGCCCTTCTTCCACCAAACTTTTCCAAAGTGAGGTTTTAATACACGAGAAAGAGAATTCTTGATAGAGAACCAATATTAGTTATGGGAAAAATTGAACATAAAAAGGAAAGATTTTACTAAATGAAGAAATGCCATTAAGTGCCACATACTCATCAATACAGAGACAAGCAAAGCATAATCTGCCTACCTCATTCCAGAGCACTGAACTATGGAGGAATTGGAGCAGTAATTGCACACGAAATCACCCACGGATTCGATGACGAAGGTATTTCCTTTTACTCCCACAGCTTTGTCTAGCCTTCAAGAGAGGGTTGGTCCTAAAGCGATGTTGTGGATATTAAATTGTAGGTTTACATCTACACATCTACATCATGCGTACATCGAAAACGGTCATTCAGTTGTCCTGGGACAAAGGTTTCTTCGGGAATCTTTCTTCGAGTCCCTACCATGTCAGATTTGCTCGTAGCATATATATATATATATATATATATATATATAAGGATGTACTAGTGTGCAGATTGCGGTTTGTATATGACCAACCTGTACTCGCGTAACTGAAGGACTCGTAGACATTGGCCTGTGGTTGGCTCCGGCAATCAAATTCATGCGCGCTACAGGAAAGCCCGATTGCAAAAGGTACATATTCGTCGCTAAGCTGACTCGCCGTCATTGCGCATTTCCTGATCTTCTTCGTTGGAAATCGAAGATATTGAAGCTACTAAGTTTTCGGCATGTTTTCGAGAAAGTATTTAGTGTCATCAAATTTGTTTCTTATTCACAGGTAGGCGACTTGATGCCGTCGGGAATCTGCGAGACTGGTGGGACAACAGGATGGAAGTCCAGTTCTCAAAGCGTGCACAGTGCATCATTGACCAGTATGACAAGATAGAGGTGTGTTCAAAGAGTGAAATAATCGTGAATTATGGTCATGGATAATTCAAATGCTGAAATTGGTCTTCCCTCAACTGCAGTGCATATTGGAATGCGGGGCTCGCAGTCCCTACGTGCAATACCAATGAGGGACAGAAGGGGTTTGGATGAATGCCAGTGAACGCAACGAATTTGACCAGCAAGCATGGAAAATTTTCAAAAAAAAAACGAAAGAAAATTGCTGTAGGTTCCTGGAACTGGTTTGCACATCAATGGTAAGCTAACACAAGGAGAGAATATAGCCGATAACGGTGGAGTAAAGCAAGCATTCAAGGTAAATCATTGTTCTAGATTGATGCTTAGCCCGTGTTAGCATAGACTTTGCCAGAAGAACGTTTATAACTTGTCATTTGGTTAAGAAGGGAAATCAATTAGATAGCGAAGAAGGATCCCATTTCTTGCAAAGCGTCAGTTATTATGGAAATGCATTTGGTAAAAGAACTGCATTTTTAGGCATACACAAATTATCTGAAGAAATTTGGAGAAGAAAAACGAATTGAAGGATTGGAAAAGTACAACAACGAGCAAATATTCTTCATGGGATACGCGATGGTTGGACAACGCTGGACTTCTCTCTTGCTTCACCTTTTTCCCAATAAGCTTTCTACTTAATCTTTTTTTACTTTTTTTGCTCAAACAGCACGGGTTACACTCCAGAGTGTTTATGAACTATGGAAACTTACTTACTTGGATACTTGGATGTCCCGTCTTCACTGGTTTTGCGGGCCCCAACATAAGTTCCATTCTCTGGAAATTTGCTGGTTTAGTCATTGTGGTTCTCTGGAGTGGCCAAAGTCTGTCCTAGGCTGTCACCACCACAGACAGTAGCTACCGTTGTAGATCAATGCGAGATTTGCCGTCATGCGACTAGTTTGATACTAGGACAGTGGTCGATCCTGTTATTGGTTAACTTTTAGCTGGGCTTCCTGATGGAAGCGTCGGACTCCTTCTCATCTTGGGAAATCTTGCCGGAGGGACGAATCAGCCTCTGTACATCGCAGCCGGACACCCAGGAACAGCTAACCACGATGAGGCGGTATACCGCTAGGAGGCACGGACTATGGATGTCTTGTAAAACGCGGAAATAATTTATTTTTAGCTATTTTTCCACCTAGAAATGCTTTAAACAGAGGTGATAAACCAATGGCGAATACAATATACTTCATCTATTATAAAAGGCTCTGAGATTTGTGCGACGAAGTATATTTAAAGGAGTTTTTCTTGCTAATATGCTAAAATGATGGCATATGGTTTAGAAAGAAATGATATGCAGGTCTGGTGTGGCCACGCAACGACAGATGCCCTAATCGACGCCATTCTCACCGACCCCCACGTTCCCGTAAAATACCGGTGTGTGTCTGCCTATCTCATAAATTAATTTGACAATGCGAACCCTTAATTTCGATCAATCCTGCTCTGTAGTCATGCGTGTGGAATTTTCTAAGATCCTATTTGTAAAATGTATGGTTCCCAAATAATTGTTACTATGCGGACTGCGCAACCATTTACTGTAGGGACTTAGTAAATGTTGGCAATCGTGATGATTTTAGTATCTTAGTGGAAAACTTCTAACGAAAAAATTCAAAGAAACGAATGCAGCAATGAATTGTCTTATGTGTTTCGACCTTAATATCCTGTCGTAATTGGACTTTCTTTTTCAGTGTGAATCAAGTGCTCGCTAATCAACCAGAATTCGCTGCCGCTTTCAACTGCGCAATCGGCACTCAAATGAATCCGACGGAACGATGTGCTGTTTGGTAGCGAAAATGGCATGGACTGCTGAAAGCTTTGGCTCTGCCGAAACATCACCTTGAATGCTATTTGCATATTATTGTTGTCTATTCCGCACACGAAGACTGTAAAAGTCTTTCATCTAATGCTCGTTTCTTATTTGTGCTTCCACGAAATACACCAACTTGTTTTTAATAAACCTTCAGTATAAATGGAAGGGAGGCCTTAAAATCGAAATGGGACCCCTTAAAATTTGCTCATGGTACGATATAATGTGTCAGTTTGTCCTAGATAGAAGCTTCTCAACTCCAAGGTAGGCCCGCCGTTTCTGCTGACTTTACCATCATACGCTCTACAATGTTATCGTAAACAGTGGACGTAGTGAAAAATAACCTTATGTTAATCGCAGATAATGCGAAACACTTTTCCTGTAGATAGCTTGAATGAAGAGTGTCGCTTTTAACTGTGAAAGTTGGCATTTGAATGAATTCTACGTGTTCTTACTTCTTTCTATTTGTGAGCTTGCAGTTATACTCAATGTAATTTGCTTTGCACTTAAATAGATGGCCCAATATTCGTGATTCTTTGAGGGCTAAAGTAATTTTCTTTGAGGACTTCCGCACTGCTACGGCCTTGAGACAACTAGAAGAAATCAGCTCCTGTACTCGTCGTAAGCAAGGACATTTTGAGTTCCCGAAGGATGATTTACTTTTCGTCAGTTTGTCCCAAACTGTGCTAGTTGGCCAGTGGATTAAGGAGCTGGTCGGATTGATCTTTTGTCCGCTAACTGTACGTGGAATGCTCGACTTTGTATGAATTCGCCACGCGGGACTTTTCTCCGTAACTGTCTTGAACAACCTCGAGTTTGGATGTAACAGTTTATAGCAACAACAACGATACAATAATAATGCGCGATATTTGACGATATGTAAGCTAGATGGATACGAGCGATATTGAAATGGGAACAAGCACACTTGAAAGAAGCTAGGCGGACCCTGGAGTTGGAGCACTGGTAGCTTGAAAGGCAACAGTCGTCTCTAAGACTGCTGGAGCTCCTCCTATTTTGTCTGTAATAGATGAGGTTTTACAGAGGGAGTTAGAGATAGTGCTGATTCAAGGTATGACACGGTACATGCGGAGAAGTACATCAGGTAAGACGGTATACCAGGAACTTGGCCAACATAAAACTTAAACAGATAGCGAGGGAATAGCTCGTATAGAAAGGTTATATAAAAACAACGCAAAGGCTTATCAAAAGGTCGTGTGAAAGAGATGAAATAGCTTGTAATAGTTCCCAGGATCGACTTTCTATTAACCTCGGCATTAGAATATGAATGTGTCGTTTTCTTGTTTAGCAATCGCGAGGTTCTTAAACAGCATACATCTACTTCCATAAAAAGCACAATACAATACAATGCTAGCTGACGTTTCGGCAGTATCGCCTTCTTCAGAGCCGCTTTTTCGTGACTTCCAATGAAGAAGTTTAGAACAGCTGATTATAGTCGCATGTGGTTGACGACTGCCTCATTGGAAGCCACGAAAAAGCGGCTCTGAAGAAGGTGAAATAGCTTGTGCAAAGGCTTCTACCGGAAGTACATGTGGAAACGGTCTAAGGACTTATACATTATGAATAGATAAATTTAAGATAATTATAAGCAAATAGTTGCTATAGGAAACATGTGATATTATAGAGAATAGGAACTATTTAAGGAATAGTTACTATACAAACCGCTGCAGACACTCTCGTGTAAACGCTTCATTAAAAACTGAGATCTTATTTCCCTGAAAATCCTTTCTTGCTTACACTACTTTAATCGCAAATATTAGTTGACTGCTTAATGAAACACAGATTCCAAAACGACAAATCGACAGTACTCAAAGATCAAACTTTCATCATAACATAAGCGCATAGATTCAGTGTTTGCCAACTCAGTTCGCTCTCAGTTGGCAAACACTGAATACTAGAAATTGTATTACTTTGCAAAATTCCTTTATGAAATACATGATATACTGACATCAGCACGTTAACTCTTTAACGATCTCCTGTTGCTGGAGTGCAACTGAGATGTGCATTAAAATGAAGATGCACGGTCCACAAGCCCGCTTACGGGGCACGGTGTGCTGGTCTCTTGAAATTATCGTTCTGTTGCTCGGTTCCCTCACATTTCTTTCAAGTCTCTCAAACTTTCACGTATGATTGTGTTCTTCCCATGTTTTTGTACACCTCATATGGGTGGTCTAACTCTTATGCGTGATCAAAAGAAAATTAATCCACCATCTAAACGTGATCTTATTAGCTTACCACATGGCTTTATATGTTAGTTGAAGTGTATTTCTGGGTCTTTCTCATGTTGCTTTTTTGTATCCACAGATTCCATTCGCACCGTCTGAAACTGCTTTTTGCAAGTATAGTTCGGAAAACCTATCCGTGGATCAGTCCCGCTATAAAACCTGTGTTCGGCAAGTCATCGATTGACTATAAAATGTCATGAGGGCGTTATAGGATCAAAAAGTAATGTATATAGGCAAAAATATTGAATGAGAAAAAGTTTTAGTCAGCTGGTACATAAATAGTTGACACAGTACGAAAAGCGCGCCGGCATCCTCTTTCTGGTCATTATAATAAGGTTGCTATTATTATTATTGTATTAGTGTTGTGACAGTATCTTATTACTCTTGTGACATTATTAGCGTCACTTCAACAGTAGCTGTAGCGACTCATAATCCTAAACTTGCCTTATTCTTGTGGCACTATTTTCTATCATTATTCCTGCTGTATTGGTGTTGCACTTATGTATATGAGCAGTTTGATCACCCAAGTATGATAACTTTTTCTGCGATGGCTACGAAAAGTTTCTCATGGCGTCTTTCTACGAAGGCGAGCATTCTACTTAAAGCTAGTGATTGTTCGATGCCGAGAACTGACACGAAGGCTTAATTTAACACTAACAACTGCGACAATGGAGTCACCTAATATTATTTTATAAACCATGCTAGAACTACTACGAAGTAGAGGCATTGCCACAAAAACGTATAAAATGTACAGGAAACTCCACCCAAAGCTTTACTCTTCATGGTGGTTAAAGGTGTTTCCTAATGTATGAATGCGATGTAGAGCGTGAGCTTTGCCCTGATATCAAACTAGTCACATAGTGGGAAATCTCTCTTTGATCCCTAGCGATCGCGACAATACTCTAGCAGACTACAAGAGGTGGTGACGATCCAGGAAACACTTTAACTAGGCTGACCTTAGGAGTTCGGGGAACCACAGTGACTCAACCGGAAAAATGTAACGGCTAACAGTGCAAAAGTGTGGATCGCGATCGCAAGAATGCTTTAGCAGTAAGAATGGAAAATTTCTGGTGAAGTGAAAAGTTTCTCAAACTTGGGAAATTAAACCTTTATACATATATACGCATTATTTGCGCAGCAATGCAATGAGACTAAAAATGTCTATGCAATCAACTACAAACCAGGTGGTTCTGTGGGTTTCGTAGGGTGGTTCACCTGGTTTTTTCTATATAACATGTTGGATTAACAATAATTTAGACCATTATGCAACAGGTTTATGAGGTTATGAGCTATTAGCAAATACTGATTGTAAAACTATTGCTGCGCCTATAAGAGAGTTAAGATTTGCGCGCTCACAGTACAAGAATGTGAATAGCGATCGCGACAATGCTCTAGCAGCAAGAATGGAGAATTGTTGGGTAGAGCACCTGTGAGCAATAAAAGCAGTTACCAAAACTTATGTTAACAACATGCAGTAATTACAAGAGAATCGATGACATCATTGATGTGTCTGAAATGCTAGAGCTACACATTCTAGTTGGCATCATTTGTGCCTAGGTGGATCGAAGGAATTGTAAATGAAATGCTTATGTAGGAGAGCAAATAATGATGAGGAAAGGGCAACGGCGAGTTCCAAGGCGTCGTTAGAAGCCAAATGACGGTGCTAGTGGGCGTGGCTACGTCGAAGTGAAAACCGTTATTCGCTGGGTCATGGCTCGGGTCGCAGGGTATAGTCCCTATGCAATGAGACATACCCAATAGCACGCCTGGTGATGTGCCCGACGGCTACGAGATGCTGTGTCTAGTGGCGTGCCCGATGGCTAGAAAGGGACGTGGATGTAGCGCACGCACGCGGGCGTTGTGGCAAATGCAGTCTTTATCGACTTATAGAATGTGTTCGTTAGGTAGAGAGAGAATTCCCTATCTGATAGAGGAATTCTCTATAAAAAACCTCACTCTCAGTAGTCCTCACACTGAGCGCTCCCGCCTATGACGTCGGTAGATGAGACAACCGGTGGGAGGGAATCAAATCTTGGCATGCACAGGACGTCAATGAAGACGGAGAAATGCTTCCTGCTTTGGATCCATAACCGCAGGACGGTTTATTTTGATGCCGACATTTACGCTCTTTCTGAGGCTACCGATCCATCAAATTTCCTGTTGTCGCCCTACAAAGGCGAAAAGCAGGGAGATTGGCATGTGCCAGGTATATAGCGAAACTCTCATCATTCATGGGAAAAAATTTCCGTTATAAAATGTCGTAGGCGTTGGCTTTGTCGTGCTCTGGTCAATTTCCCATCTGGTCACCTCGTGCAAAATTTCCAACTGGCGAGTCTGAAGAAAGTCATTATTATCAACAGTTACTCATCATCTTGGAAAACTGACGAGATCGAACTGGGCGCGCTTTATAATTCCTTGGAGGAAGTAATCCACAGCGAGAAATGCTTCTACAAATTCGTTGTTAGATACTAGGGATTCGTTGCCGGTGCGAGATTAGGAACGGCCACCAAAAACAATACACGGTATGGAAATTCGGAGTGTGGGAGCGAAATGAGGACGAGAGCCGTCTTATGGGACTGCTATCTGGAGCACGTGTCTTCAATGGGAATTCATTCTTCCAAAGGAAAAAAAATGCTGATGGACAGGAGAGTCTGCTCACGGTACTCATGTGGCGACCGACAACGTTCTCGCGAACAGAAAGTGGTGCCTCTTTAACATATGAGTGGTACCTGGACTCT